GCCGAGGGGCAGCGGGTGGCAGGAGGCCGAGGGGCGCCCGAGGGGCCACGGGCGGTAGCGCACAGGGCCCGGGCGGCCGGCAGCGGCCCCGGGGCTGGGGGGAGTCCAGCCCGGATATTGAGTGCAGCCATTGAGAAAAGCCAAACTCTTGTGTGTGTGCGTCTCGAATAGCCCCCAAGATGGCCGCCAATGTGGGATCGATGTTTCAATATTGGAAGCGATTTGATCTACGGCGACTCCAGGTTAGTGCGGGCAGCGCCGGCCGCGCGGCCGTTGGGAGCCCGGGCGCGCCCTAGGCGCACTGGGGAGGTCCCCGGGCGGGCGGGTGGGCGCCCTGGGGCGGCGGGCGGCGGCTGGCGGGGCTCGCTGGGACTCGGCTGCCCGCTGCCCATCGATAGGTATTAGGAATTGATCTCGCCGCTGCTCTTTGTTCGGTTCAATCATCGATTAGCCGCCGCGACCATGGAGAAGCGCTAGAGAGTCCGCGACCAGGGGAGCCAGCCGGCTGGCAGTGGCCAGGAGAGGCTCGGGCAAGGCAGGGGCTCCGGCCCCGGAGTGGGGGCAGCCGGCCGGACCCCCGCCCGCCTCCCGTGCGCCGCACTTTGCGCACCTCCCAACTTCGCGGAGCCGGGGGAGGCCGCGGAGTGCGCCGCGTGCTGTCCGAGCCCGGGAGGGAGGGAGCTGGCGGGCTGGGAGGAGGAGGAGGAGAGAGGAGGAGGCAGCCCGGGTTGGCGAGGAGGCGGCTCCGCGCCCCGCCGCCCGCCAGCACCTCCGCTGCCGCCCGCTTGGCCGCGCAGCCCGGACGCACCGCCACCCGGGGCTGCCGCCGCCACCGTCACCGCTGGAGCAGCCGCCGCTGCCGGACTGGTCGCCAGCGCCAGCAGACCACTCCTTCTCGGGCTGGGGTCTTGGGGTTCGTCTTTGCTTCTTGCTTCCCCCGCTTTCCAGATCTAGATGCAGAAGGGCAGTGAAGATGGGCCCGGGAGCACCCAAGTTTGCGCTCTTGCCCGAGGGCCGTGGTGAGCACGGAGCGGCGCGGAGCAGGTGACTGCCGGCTCCCAGGCCCATGGGAACTTTTAAATGGGAGATTCCCTCGCTCCGCTCCGTGTTGCCCCCTGCTCCTCCTCGTCACTCCTGTCTTTTCCCCTTTCGTCAGTTTCTTTCTTCTCTTTCCTTCCCTTCCTTCCTACTCCTTCCCTAGGGCAATCCCTCCCAGTTAGCACTTTCTCCCCGTTCCTCATTTGGGGAGTCGGTGTCTCCTCCAGATTTGGAGTGTTTTCTGCCTTCTAGGAGCCAGGCCTAGGGGTAGATTCACAGAGTACCCCCTCATTAGAGACACAGCTTCAGTCTTCATTCCATGGGTGCCTGGGAAGCTCCCAACAATGCCCCCAGTCCCTGCAGCCTCATGGTTGTGGCTGGTGCGCGAGAATGAGGGGCGGGGAAATGGTGTGGTTAACTGGGGATTAGAGCATCTTGCCTTGGCCTTGACATTCTCACACGGGAGAGCACCAGTCTGGAGATAAAAGGGACCTACTTTATTTTTTAAAATCCGTCTGTAAATCTCATTAAGTTTCTTCTGATAAGTGGTTCCGGCACCCCCCCCCTTCCCAGTTCCCCTCCTTCCTAACCCTCTGCTCCTTGCTCCCCCCTTCCCGAAGCTATTGAGCTGAAGAGAAAAATCGGGGCACTCAGGCATGCAGTTAATAACTGCGAGTGCCTGGCAATTCCAGGTCCTCACTGGAGTTGGGGCTACAGTTTGGTGGTGGGCTGGTGGGTAGGGCTGTGAGCTGTGCTTGCTGGCTTAAAGGCTGCTAAAGTGGCCTTTCTTGAAGAGTGAGGGGAGGGAGAGAGAGTTGGGCAGCCACATTGGGCTTGGCACGGAAGGCCAATGGTAATCGTATTCCCTGCTAATGTTTGTAAATGAGACCCCGGCATGGCTAGGGGACAGTGTCTTTATTTATGATTGATGTTCTGTAACATAAGGAATGACAAGAACGTGGCAGACAAGAGGAGAGAAACCAGAAGGGCTGGGGAGAGCCCTTTGCAGGGTCCTATTGTTATTCTGGGCTGGAGAAAATTTCCGCGGTGAGATTTACAGCGCTGGTATTTGCTCCCAGTCGGCAGGAATGTCAGTTAACACAATTTTCATTAGATAACTCGTTTTCAATCGGGGAGCTGGGGCTGCATCTTAGGAGAGGCTTGGGCTGGGTGCTGAGGGCTGGGTGCGGCTCCCAGGGTGCTAATTTCTGAGCTGGGGTAGCTTAAACCTTACTCTCTTTATTCCTTGATCAGGGATCCTTGGGGGCTGTTGAGGTCACCCAAATCTTGATTCCAGCTGGAGTTCCCAGGATCCTGAAACCCTTTGTTAGGGGTTTACAAGATTTTGAGATGGAAAAACGGATTTAAACTGGAGAAGATGGAGGTGGGGGTGGTGGAAAGGCTTGTCCAGGTGACGGTGACCACTGTGGGCCAGGACCTCTCCACTGACAAGGGTAGCCGCGGGGTGGGGGCGGCTCATTAAGACAATAGCTGGGTGTCAGGCACAAAATTGAAGGCTTCCAGGGAGGGGGGAGCTCATTTACATCGATATTAAGTGGATGGTGTGTCCCCCAGGGAGTTGGAAAGGCTGCACACTCCTACGGCACAGGGAAATAACGGTGGCAGCTGTGGTGAGCAGACATTCAGGCCGGCACATCTGCTGCTCCCTGCCCCCACTGGAAATCTTCCCTGTCCCCTTGCCCAGTGGGTGCAGCGCCCTGTGTTCTCCTGGGTGGCCTTTTTGTTGGAGACGGATTATGAGCCTCAGCACTTTCGCCTGGGAGCCTCTCTGGTACATAATGCTGATGACTCCTACGCTACACATGGATTTTCATTTTTCCTTCTCCGCTGTTCTTCTCCTGGGGGAGAAAGGAAAACTTCTACGGGCTTGTTCTGAGATAGGGACAGGAGAGGCAGGTCCCCAACCCAGCTTGGTGCAAGCCGAGAGCCTTGAGCCAGCTCCGGGGCGGGCTGCCTGTGAGGAGGTGCTTGACTTTCCTCCTTGGAGTTCAGCTTGGATGCCTTCTTGAAGCCGGGTTGCCCAACCCAAAGTGGGCAAGCAAGGCAGCAACAGTGGTCCTGTGTCCCCTGGCTGCACCACACTGCTGACGCCATCCCATCCTGGCAAGAAAGGTGACCTTGTGCCAGCCCTGCGTACAGCCCTCCCAAAGTATGTATTTTTCAAGTATGAAATGGTCTAGTTTTTATTCTTTCCAGGGCTGTCTCTGAGCACTACGGGGCTGTTTCTGCCTGGTGCACCTCAGTCAACAATGGTAGGAACTTGTGGGCTGACAGGCAGACAGCAAAGGTGATCTGGCCCAGGTATCCTACGCTGATGCCCTGAAACTGCCTCCCCTCTTCTCTTTTCTTTCCCCCTCTACTTCTCTAGCAGCTTGGGAAATGAGAAGAAATAAAATTCCATCCATAGATAATGCTGGGCATATTTCATTTGGTTATAAGATTGCTTTATGGCGAACATTACTAATGCAGTATTTTTTTATGGCTTTTCTGTGTATAATTGTCGTAACCAGATTCATACCTTTATGATTTTCTTTTTCTGCTTTCCTTTGCCACTTTTTTTTTTTTTTTTACAATGCTGTGAGTCCAGTCTCCCAAGCCCTCTTTTCTTCCCCTTCTGAAGAGGGTTACTTGCAGCTAGAGTTGGGGGCATGCAGTGTAAATGAGGGCCCAAGGTCCAGATGTGCATCTGGGCTTCCGGGGATGGAAAGAGCTTTGTTGGTAGACCCACCCAGGATAAGTTTTGGAGGAAAAGGTAAATTCTGCTTGAAGTACCAGCAGTGAGGAAGAGGACCCACAGGACCGGCAAGAGGGAAGCTGTACTTCTCTACCGGGTTTGCAGAACCTTCCAGGCTGGCACATGCGTGTCTTGGTGCAAGGGAGTGAGGTGGTGTTTGATGGACTGTTTTTCCCTGCTCAAAAGTTTAGAAAAGAGCATGGATGTGATTAAAATATTATAACCTTATGATATTCTGAAGTGCATAAATTTTACGTATCAGCCACAGAGAGTTTAGACATCCATTAGAGCCTCTGACAGCTTGACTTATCTAAATGTGCTATCATTTAACAATGTGTCAAAATTCCTCTTTCTATAGATGACAGCAGTAAATAAGCTATCAGTTCTGTTGGCGGAATCCTAACTTTGGAAACTTTGCGCTAGTAGAATTGCTGTTGGGGTAGGGAGCCTGGGTAGGCAGGGCTTGGCATGGTGTGAGCTGGTGCGAGGGTGGGTGTGAGGCCAGGGCTGGGGAGGTCAGAGGGGCAACAGGGGGAGGGGTGCTGCCAGCGGCATTTTGGTAAAAGACTAAACAGTTGTCAGGAATCCTGGACAGTCCTGTAAGTCCAGCCAGCTGGTACCCCATTCTAACCGCCTCTCCAGTACATGTGGACCCACTCTGTGGGCTTTTTCTTCAGAAAGAGCTACAAACAGGTGTTGAGTTTTTATTTAAGGATCTCAGTAGTCTTTTCTGAGCATCCTAAAATTCTCATTTCTCAAGTTGCCAGAAATTGCTTCCCAAAGACGGGTTCCCCTCTTGGAATGCAGGCAAAAACCAAGCAATATTATATCATTCTGCACTGCTTTTGCTGCTGGGGGTCTTGCAGTTTCTTTTATTAATGTCTGAAGTCACTGTGGAAAATTGGGAAACCTTGGACAGCCCCCAAAGAAGCGCATCAGCATCTCAGTGGGTTACTTCAGATGAGCACAGGGCTGTTTTGACTAGAGGGAGCAGTGTTTCTGATGATGGTTTTTCTCTTTTCTTTCTTTTTAAAAAACCTTTCTTGTTAAAAAGAGGATTCTGTCTTCGAACCTGATGTCTACTTGTGGTAGCCTTTCTTCCGGCAGATGGGGTTTCATACATGAGCACCTCGGTTGGTGCTGAATTGGGCCTGCTTGATGGTACATGGAGCTGCCCACAAACCAGGGGTTTTCTGGGCATCTCCCTGCAAGGGCTGAGCTCTCAGCTGCTTCCTGGTTGTCTCATTCAGCCCAGGCCTGGTGCAGGCGGAGCATAGGCGGCCATGGGCCCTGCCTTTGACTCGCCTGGGCTTCGGAATCTTTCCCTGGGGATGGGGATGGTGCTCGCTCTTAAGCCCGTGGCTTGTGTTGTTGGCGTCTGGGGAGGCAGCGGTGGTTGGCAGAGGGAGAAGGACCGGGAGCTGTGGTTTGTGCTGACCTTGGTCTAGT